TTTCTACATTAGTTTTTAGTTTTCAAGAACTCATTTCTCCGCTTTAACAAATTTTTCAACGTTAATGAATTTCATTCATAAATAACGACAAATTCATGAGATATCTAAAACCGCTTTAGACTCACCTCCTCAAACTTCGCCGTCTGTAATTGTCTGGCTTGCTTCTCCTGTTCGAGGCGCTCCACAGTCTTCTGTAGCGACAAGATCTCTTCATTTTCTCGCTCATTATTATTAGCAAGAGATTCTAACGTTTCCAACGCTGATATGACCTAGAATCAATACAATAATTAAAACAGAGAATTATACGAAGATTGTTGCTATTATGGACAACAAGACCTATATCTGTATAATGCTAATTATACCAACAGCAATCTACAACAACTTCGCATTTTGATCATTGCATGGGTTAGGACCAGTTTTTGCAAACCAATTCTTTGCAGGAGATAAAAGTATGTCTTACCATCAAACTAAGCAGAATTGCAATTGGTATAATTAGACATCGAATCAACATAGATTCAGATTTGCAAAGGCTGCAACTCCTATTTCGCGTTCAATAAAAAACTTCTAGAACTCATGTAAGCCGTGTAATTGCACGATATGAAAGGGATTAAAGGAGAGAGAGTTAGAGGCACAGACTCAGAAATAAGACTGATTGACGTCCTTTCTGATGTTTAAATCAGAACTATGAAATTTCTTGATCCCATGGGTAGACAACCGTTTTTTGAAGCTTGAAACTTTGTTCACAGAGCGTAGTTCTGTAATTATAAAGTGAATAGCCGATATCACCTAGCAATCAATGAGCGTGATTGGAAACTTCATGGATGAAGAAGAACCAGTTTTTAAAAAGTGACACAAGCCACCGGAATGAGAAGTCCCCTATGATTTCATGAATTGTACCTTTGATCAATTTTGTCAAGTACATTTGCAGAGGAATTTTCCTGTCCCATTTTAAGCCGATTTTCTTGCTGCGATAGACAGAGGTAGGAAGACGTAAGAAGCAGTTCCCCAAAATAATGTCTCCCCTTTGGCCGTTTTGCGGAACAAGCTAATCCATTTATTCACGAGTTTTGGCGAAATTTGAGAAATGGACGGACATATGAAAGAGTATCCTCACGAAGCCACACAATGTCATCATGGAAATTAATAATAAAAAAGTGCCACCAGTGTTCTGCCTCTCCCCAATCAAAACGAAAAACAACCATTTTTCGGAGATTTCGCTTACCCTTCTTCGTACCTCTGACGCTAGAAGATGAATAGGGTGATCG